TACCCTTAAAAGCTTGAACTTGTTGAGTTTGTTACCCAAACTTAAAGTTCAGACTCTGATCCATCAACAAAATAAATTGAAATACAAGCTGGAAGGGACTTGGTTGTTGTGATTAAGGGATTTATTTTTGGCTAAAGGGCTAGATGACATCAAACCAGACTGTGTAGCGGTCAATATTCCTAACCGCTCGAGCTACAAATTCTTTACTTACCATCATTATCTTTTTAAATTAAAGTTAAGGGTATTTTTTAAATATGCACGAATGAGCGGAGTAATTAAGTTTTTTTTGGGGGGTACTGGACAAGAAAAGTGGATTTGGTTAAAGGTAATTAGCTTGGGAGAGAGCAATATTACCACCTTTACTGTGAACCAAATCTTAGGGACACCCATATCAATGGCCTTAAATACTGGTCCTAAGCTTGTTCTTCACTTTCCAATGAAATCTCAAAAGACCAACATCCTCTTAAGATGTCATATTTTCCAAAAACCCACGAGCACCCGACTTAAAATAAAATCAAGTAAAATGTCACATAGCCCAACATAAATTAGATTTTCTGGTCCCCCCTTGCCCACATCAAGAAAGAAGACCAACCCCCATTAAAAAAAAAAAATGAATAGATAAATAAAGATGGGGTTTTATTAAATTCATAATGGCTTGATAAGCAATAAACAAACATACACCTCATAACTTTAAACATATTTATAGCCGTAGATTAATGTCTAAAACCAACTTAATCATTAATAACCCCATTGAGTGGACTGCAGCAGAATTTGGGGCCCATGCAGTTGATCATTTCACACTAAGATTTGCTTTCTCCGCCGTTAGATGGGTCCTAAGGAGTACAAGTAAACGGCTGGGATTAAATTATTGGGTCTTGTATGTAATATTGAATTCAATCGGAGGGGGCTAAGGGGCATGATTCATGAAGAAGCATCATCCATTTTTGTCCCCAGAGGAAAAGTAATTAAATTATATAATTAATTATTTTTTTTATTGAGAGGAGCGATAACATACTAAACTCACACGCACTCAACGGACGTTAGGACTCAAACCATAAACTGTAATTATTAAAGAGAAAATGTGGCCTAAAAAGACTGATTATGCATGGTAAGAAGGTTTACAAATTACAAGACACACACAATACATATACAAGGAACCTCATCATTCCATGCCTCTCTCTCCCTTTTGGAAAAAATCAACAAAACAAGAAATATCTAGGAAATACAAACCACAAATTTCAATAGAATAGAGGGGGAAGTAAGGAGCCAAGTCAGTAGCTCGAGGAAGAAAAAGAGGAAAGAAGAAGCCAAAGAGCACTCAAATCAAAAGAATATTGAAAGAAAGAATTAGAAGAAGAAGTAGAAACTAGAAAAACTCAGTCAACCCAGTCAAACACTTTACAACCCAATAACCTCAAAATCTAAAAACCTCACAAATCCAACTAAATTAGTAAACTAAACATACCCACTTGCGCCTCTCTCTCTCTCTCTCTCTCTCTCTCTCTCCTATTCTCTTTCTCTTTCTCTCTCTAAGATAGTCTCTTTCCTTTTTGGGTATTTTTCAGGCTTCTTTATGGACTATTTTTCTTTCCATAAATCTCTTTTTATTTTTTCACACATCCTTTCAGCCCATTAAACAATGAAAATGGCATATTACCATTCATCCTTTCCCCTCTATAGGAAACACCCATCATTGCTCCCAACAATCGTTTTCAACCTTAGAAACCTGAGCTGCTGCTTCTTCTTCTTCTTCTTCTTCTTCTTCTAAGATATTCCCTCCTTCCCATAATCCCATTCCTTCCCTTTCCTTTCCATTCCATCTCTCTCTCTCTCTGTCTTTTTCTCTTCTCCTCCTCATCCTCCTCCTTCTTCCTCTCACCATTTAAATACCACCCTCTCTTTTTTATCCCAGACTCAATTTCAACACACTAAAAGAAAAGAATTTTTAAAAGGAAAAAGGAAAAAAAAGAAGATCAAAATGGATCCTTCATCCACCAACTCTGTCAATGGCTTCTATTCGTTTCTGACTCGTGGGATCGACGATCTTGAAAGGGTTTATCTTTCAAACAACTTCATGTCAATCCAATTCCTTCAAAGGGCTCTTTCCCTTCTTCGATCTTTTCATTCGCAGCTGACCCTTCTCGTCCAAAAGCTCCATTTGCCTGTTGGGGACAAGTGGCTTGACGAGTACATGGACGAAAGCTCCAAGCTTTGGGAAGCCTGCCATGTCCTCAAGTCTGCCATCTCTGCCATGGAGAATTACTACACGTCTGGCCTCAACATCACCTCCACCCTCGACTCTCATCGCCATCTCACTCCTCAGCTCTCTCGCCAGGTGGGTTTTCAAATTTGATCACAATCTTTAAATTTTTTCCAATCCATATTCTTTTTCGTCATGCACAAGTCGTCTGATTCATTCGCTCAATAATTTCATCAAACAGGTAGTTCGCGCGATTTCTGGGTGTCGGCGAGAGGCGTTTGGATTGGAGGAAGAGAACAGAGCGCTGATGGAGACGAGAATTCAACCACTCTCACTGAAATTCGACGAAAGGGTCTCCATCGAATCGAAGCTTAATGGGTTCAACGGGTTCAGGGGAGTTCTTTATGCAATGAGAAACGTAAGCTCTCTGCTTCTCATGATCTTGCTCTATGGACTGGTCTTCTGTTGGCCAGAGTCAAGCTTCTGCAGGGGAGGCTACGAGGGTTGCTTGATCTTCGGATCATCGTTCATGATATCAACGGCTAGATTGCAGCAAAGGGTAGCAGCAGAGATCAGCCAGATCAATGAAAGGCCTGGGATTTTGATGTGGGAGTTCAGGAGGTCCAAGATGGCCATGGATGAGCTGAGAGGTGAATTGGAGAGGAGGGGCCCACAGGGGGTGATGGATTGGGAGAGTGAGGGTGGGATTAGCGAGAGAGTGGACAACTTGAGAGAGTGTTTTGGTGTCTTGAGATCTGGTGCTGAGAATATTATCAGCCAACTTGATGATTTCTTTGATGAAATTGTTGAAGGGAGGAAGAAGCTTTTGGACTTTTGCAGTCATAGGTAGGGGGAAAAAAAAGAAAAAACGAAGAAGAAAGAGTGTGAGATAGAAAAACTTGTTGCAAAAAAAAAAATTTACAGAGTAGAGAACCAGAGAGGTATTTAGTTGTTGGGTTTTGTTGTACCTTTTTAACCCTTCTTACTTATGTTTGTAATTTTTTTTTTTACTTTTCATTTTCCCCCTTGTGTCTTCTCCTTTGTTCTAATAGTTACTAGTTAGTTACTATAGTTGAAACCGTGGAGATGGGGAGTTTTTAATTTAGTTTAATTTAATTTTTTAAAATTAACCAGAAACCAGTAAAGAAGAAATGCAGTTCTGGGTCTGAGGAGAAGACCTAGTTAAAAACCAAATTCTAGAACTAGTTTTCATGCAGGTGAAAGTTCTTCTAGTAAGTTCACCCATGATTAAAAAAAACACAAAAGAAGAAAAAGTAAAAGTAAACAAAGGGTTGTTGGGTGAACAACAAAGACATCAAAAAGAACGGAATGGAAGGTTCTTGTTACAATATCTTTTAGACTTGGGGACAACAATCCAAATTCCATTTATGTATTTATTTAATATTTTTGAAAAAACTCATTTATTCATTTTTATTTGTTAGTTAAATTGTGTGTTTCTGTTGTGTATTATTTTTCTTTTGGAAAGATTTCCCTCTTGTTGGGGTTTTTCATGGACTATAGAGAGGGGGGGTTGTGTTTAGTTGTTATAGTAAATGAGTAATCATTCTTGTTGTGAAAGAATGATGTAAAGGGAGGGCTTAGGAACTGTAGTCTGTAGGGAAGGCACCGTGAGATTCCTGGGTTGCTTTAATCTCAAAAAGCACCTTCTTTTGATCTTAGGAAGCTTTTGTCTGATTCGGTTCACTTTGAAAGCAATGGTGTTGATGATGAAACCTTCACAGTACACCACATCCCTCTTCCAAAAACTTCTCCATCACCGACCGTCTCCATCACCGAGCGGTTGTATATAACTATACGTCTATCTCATATTACAAGATTAGTTACATAAGAGAGTCTATCTCATATTACAAGATTAGTTACATAAGAGAGAGACGCATAATTATATACAACCAGTTACAAACACCTAATGAGCACTAATAATTTTCATCTTCTTCGCCCCTTCTTTGGGTTTTGGATTTGGGGTCTTTGGAGAAAGAAATATTATTAAAAAAAAAAAGGGGCAGAAAATTTTGGGTCACTATCTTTGCTTGTTAACCGTATCTCATGCTTTTTGTCCCTTGCCGGAAATTCATGCCTTGCCTCCCTTGAAGGGATCCATAGCAGCGTCCAACATAAGCAAAACCAATAAAATAATGGTGAAAGCGAAGAACTAAAAGACAACACTGATATTATAAAATAAATAAACAAATGCAACAGAAAAAAGGCAAGCATTGCAGAAAACAAGCTCTTTTGGCAGAAGTGCTCACAGTTTTCCCTGACCCAACAAGACATTATCATCCTTAAAGCAGCAAACCGCGGCTCATATTCATAATCACCACCAAACAAAAAACACTCACTATCAATTATGAACCCTTTAAAAGAAGATTTTTTTTCCTTCTTTTTAAACACAGAGGAAAAAGAAAAGTATCCATAAAAGAAAGTGCAGCGTGAGATTTCAGCTTCTTTCACAGAGAGGGTATCATATAAAAATCTGCAGAATGTTGAATAAGATCCGACAAATGTAGTGTACATAAAACAGTAAATGCATGCAATAATAACTAAAGGGTTCGGCATATTGCCAACTAAATGAAATGGGCAAAATAGTTAACACAGAAGAAAAAGTGGTGTCTAAAAGTGGAATTGACAACCACCCAAACGAAGCCTATCTGGATGACAGATGTGCACAAAAAATAAAAATAAAAATAAAAATAAAAGAAAAAAGAATATGTAGCTCTGCTCAGTACAGTTCCATAATTATTGCTGAGAGAGAGAGAGAGAGAGAGAGAGAAACCAAACTCAATAAATTTGGTAACACCTTCACAAAGAAGTAGAATATATTCTTTCTATAGTTTTGTACAAAATCACACGGAAATAGACAGGCAGGATTTGGCAACATGGACTACTGTGAAAACTGGGCAACATATTTGGTATTCCTCTGTAATTTACAAGAGATTAATTTGAGAACCAGAACATGGGGGCAAAAAATTAAAGTTTTTGTGGTTACCACGAAATCAGGGGTAAGTAATAGAAGCAAAGATAATATGCATGAGAGACGTCACATGTTTAAATATCATATCCTGGCATTGCAAACTGGGATGCAAATGTTTCAACCCGATTTCGGAGGTCAACAATATCTTTATTGTTCTGGAGACCTTTGATAAAATCTTTCTGAAGCTTTCCATATTCCCTCTGAACATTAACAGTAATCTGGGCAGCCCTAAGAAGAAATTCAGCCATTGTCTCAAAATCAGCCTCCACACAACCTCTTGTAGTCATGGCAGGGGTACCTGCAAAAACAAACAAGAAAAAGAAAGTTTAATACCCATACAACATAAAATGACCAAAGAGAAGCAGATTACTTTAACAAAATGCACTGCGAGGCATGCAGGCTGACTGTATGACAAAGAGACGGAAGGGGAGAAAAACCAAGACAAAAGGCAATTTGGAATAATGATATTTATAAAATCAGAAATTGTTAATCGTGATGTGTGCACATTGATAAAATTCAAGCTAGCAAATGGCATAGTGTACAGCTTTCAGAATATTGACGATCAAGTTTAAATGACAAAGACTACTCACCAATTCTCACTCCCCCAGGAGACAAAGCACCATTATCACCAAATATAGCAGTTTTATTGAGAGTAATTTCGCACATCTCACATACCTTCTCGTAGTTCCTCCCTATATTATTTATGTTGTGAACAAGAAAGGGGTTAGATAGTGAAGTACAAAATTAGACATAAAAATCATGTAAAATCGTAAGTTTAAGGAAACAGAAACGAAAAAAAGGGGGTAGGGGAGAAAGAGAAACAATTGCGCACTTGAATATGTGCAATTGTATGCAAATGACTATAAAACTGGAACAGAGAGATAGATGCTCATATGAAAGATGTTTATTGAACCATTGAAAAGATAAGCCCCCCATCTATCATCCACAATTGGGAATAAACTAGCAAAACCTTTGCTCTTGAAGCTATCACGTCTAATAATTGGATTTGAATACAAAATGTGGGGGCAAACATGTCCCCGCAACAATTTAAAAAATAATGCAGAGTATTGTCAAGGATCCTAGAGCATAATTGTTTAAAGCAGCAATTGATCAAATGTAACTTCCCTTAATTTTAAAGCAGCCTTGACCACCCTGAGCTTCCAGGTTCGTGTTTCTAACCTGGTAGGATGGTAGAATTTTCCTTTTTCCCTCTTATAACATTATCAATGACCAGAAGTTCGCTGTTTGGCTTATAAAAGCAACCATGTAATGCAAAATGAACTGGTATGTACACCTATAAAGTAACTAGGTGTGGGACTAAAATAATAACAAAACTCAACAGGTAAATAGTAAATTTTCCCTACATACAAATATAATTTTATAATCCATTCTGTGAAATTGGGCTGGTTAACATTATGATACCTGTTAAACCAAGAGCAGTCAGATCCCAAAGCAACAAGTGATTGTCGGTACCACCAGTCACCAATCTGCACTTTCTTCTTAACAAAGCATTAGCTAAGGCCTGTGCATTTCTCTTCACCTGTTGCATATAAGCTTTATACTCTGGAGTGGCTACTTGCTTTAAGGCTATCGCAAGAGCAGCAATATAGTTGTTGTGGGGACCTCCTTGTAGGGAGGGGAAAACAGCAAAGTTTATCTTTTCCTCAAAATCATAGTGATTACTATCGTCTCCATTACTCTGGTGCATGCCTTGCTTCCTTAATTTAGTGCCTTTCCTGTAGAAAATAATACCTCCCCTAGGACCCCGGAGACTTTTGTGCGTTGTTGACGTAACAATATCACAATAATCAAACGGACTAGCACATTCCTGCAATAAACAATAGCAAATAAGTAAATATGTTGCAGTTATTCCTTTTTCAATTAGTACGAGTCCAGTCCAGTTGCTTAATATCTAGCCAGAACATCCCACTCCTTATCACTTCACATAGAATAGGTGGAACTTAAAAAACGATGTCATTAGGGATTTAGTTTCTTTTGGATTTAGGCGTAGACACACTGAAAGCACAAACACAAATGCAGACTTATGCACAATTGACTTTCAGGAGCTAAAGATAAAGTAAACACCTTACAAATGGTGAAAATAACAGAGAATGCAGAATAGTCAAATACACAAAATTACCCCAAGTTTAAGAGGGACAAATCTTTTATTCAAGGGTTCTAAAGCAACAAACAGTTAATCCATACAAGAGTACAACAGCGAAAGGCTCATTCTAAGCAAGTACTACACATCAATGTTGGAAAGCAAACATGCGTACCAAAGATATAGGTTTCCTAAACAGCAATAGGGATGTTACCATCTCACCTAGAGATTCAAATATTAAAAAAATACTGTACAGTTCTACTTTTCGAAATAAATCAGATCACAACACTAGAACATTAATGAAATGCCAATATTTAATAACATGATACAACTCTGACATTTACTGGAATGAAGAAAATTTGTCTGACATAAAAAAAAAAAAAACACATCAAGTCGCAGTAAGCACAAAAGTAAACAAAATGAGACACCAGAACCAAGAAGCATGGAACACATGACATTAGAAAAACCGGGAAACCAATTTCTAACCTAAAGCAACAAATAGAGTGGAACAAATTGCACTAATCAATTGTTTTATAACATTGTACAGGAGGTGAAAAAGCCTTTACATTCAATCTATTAAAAAAAGAGAACACTCTCGCAGTGCAGGTTACTAGATAAATACTTCCTTTGCAACTTATTTGCATGTTATTATAGTATCATTTATCAACCAAAACACTTATCGATACTATACTATACCGTTCAAATAGCATTTTCTTAGCAGGCCAAGCGATCATGATATGATAACTTGATGGATCAATAATTTCATTTTGTAAAAATGGTTCAATCACAATGACCCAGGTTGTAACTTTTTGCAGCCCAATTTATGAGCATTAAAAAGATTTATTCCGTTATATTGCCAAATAAGAGAGGACTCTGAAACTGCCCAGCTCTCCAATAACAGCCACTCAGCCAGTTTATAGCTTCATGGAAAAAAATTGCTATCAAGCATTAATAACAGCATCAGACATGTATTGCAATAGGTAACAAATTCAGCAACTTGGTAATTATGGTCCACGCTCCACACCAATAGTAAATACATAAGGGTGAAATAAAACTAGAGTTAAGACTTGGGAAATCAAATTTCAAACCTTGGCTGCCACAAGACCGCTGATATGAGCCATGTCACACATCAACACGGCTCCGCATTTATCCGCAATATGCCTAAATCTAGCATAATCCCACTCCCGGGGGTATGAACTCCCACCGCAAATTAGTATCTTGGGGCGATAATCAACCGCCCTCTCCTCAAGCTTATCATAATCGATGTATCCTGTTTGTGGGTTCACCTTATAAGGGAAACTGTCAAAAAATATCGAGGCTGCGGAGACCTTCTTCCCGCCAGGAGTATAATACCCATGACTCATATGCCCTCCAGAAGGCGAATCCAAGCCCATAATCCGATCATTTGGGAGCAGAAGACCGGTGTAGACTGCGAAATTTGCAGAGGTACAAGAGTAAGGCTGAACATTAACACCCCATTTCTCTGGATCAAGACAGAAAGCGGCCAGTGCGCGCTCATAACAAAGCAATTCAATCTGATCAATGTTCTGATTGCCCGTGTAGTATCTCGCTCCGGGCATACCCTCGGAGTATTTGTTCGTCAAGTGACTGCCCAGAGCTTCCATCACAGCTCTGCACACGAAATTCTCAGAAGCCACCAATTCGATGCCTTTGAACTGGCGATGCCTCTCCTTCTCCATAATTTCATGGACCTCCGGGTCCGCAGACGAAAGGGGCTGGTTCCCCCAAGACCGAACCGCGGCTCGCCTCGCCTCCAGCCCCACCGGTTCGACCGCCAAGCACTTTGATGGGTTCGGAGTGAACCCGGACACGTCCCTCGACCTTTTGAGGCAGATTGAATGCCCTAAGAGTAAGAGGTTGAATTTCTCGTCTTCGTCGTGATCGTCTCCATTCTCAACCCTAATTTGCTCTTCTTTTTGGTCGAGCAATTGCAGCGGAACGGATTGGATTGAATTCGACGAGGCCGAACTGTGATGCGTGCTACACCCTAGAAATAGGCCCGGCTGAGTCTCCGTGAAACCCATAACCACCGAAAATTCGCCGAAGAGTGTTAAGAGGCTATGGAATTAGGTATAGAAGCAACAACAGTAGCAGCGACAACAGCGCCTGAAGATGCTGCAGCGACAGTATCGAAGCCTTGATGATTGTGCAGAAGTCGCTGAGGAAGAAGCAGAGGTTTCCATACACAAACCCTAAAGACCGTCGAGATTGGCAGAGAGTGGGAGAGAGAGAGTGAAAGAGAATGTAATATTAGAAAATGATGCGGCGAATGATAATTTGAGGGGCGAGCTCAAGGGAGGATGAACCTGGATGTAAAAACACAAAGGGCAAATCGTAATTTTCTTTTTCATTGTAAATTGAGTCATTTGCCATTTTAGTTCTGCAGTTTGTTAATATATTTAAGGAAATAGATGAAATTCTTTCATTTTGGATTGATTATAAACATTTAGCAGTTTCATATTGCCATATCGAAATTACAAATATTTAGCAGTTTCATATTGCCACGATGGAAAATAAAATATTTGAATAATGAGATTGGAGGCAATATCAACGAGACGGCTTTGACATTCTTTGTCTGATGATGGATGAGATCGATAGAAAAAACCTAGGAAAATAATTTTTAAGGTTAATTGTTGATTTGTCCCTGAGTTTATACTTAATTTTGATTTACCCTTTATCTTTTTTTAGAGAAATTAAGGACTTCAATTATTTTTTGTAGCTAATTTTGCGGTGCCGTTAATTTTCCTCACATTCCATCCAATTGCCGTTAAAAATATCATGTGCCAAGCATGTGAGGCTATTTAAAGGCAATTTGGCTATTTTTGCATCTTAACAATAATTAAAAATTTCCCACCCTCAGCCACTTTCATCCCCTTGCCCTGCCCTTCCCTTGACCTCCTGTTTCCTGCACCCACCCTCCCCGTCGCTCTCTCCCTCCCAGAACTTCTCAACACCCTAACCTGAGACCACCCACCCAGCCACCCCTTCCTCATTGTTAACCCCACCACCAAAATCAAACCCCCAACTTGTAATTAAACTCCATACAAATCATACCCAACCATAAATCACAACAAAAGTTAAAAAAAAATACAAGCATTCCATAACCCACAAGCACAAGATCTCTGTTTATCTCTCTATGTGTGTGTGTGTGTGTGTGTGTCTCTCTCTCTCTCCTCCCATGGGCAGATCGGGTGGAGGTTGCGGATTGAGTAGCATGACGCAGATATTACACGGCTTGGGTGTTGGGTGTACTAAGGAATTTCAGGGGTTAAGGTGATTGTTTGGGCGAAGAGGATGTTGGAGTTGAGAGACTACGGTGAGGTGGCTAGGGGATGATAGTGGGAGAGGCTAGGGATTGGTGGGAGCGGGATGGGGCTGGGAAATGTTTCAGTTTTCTTTATTGTTTTATAACATTATTTTATAAAAATTGGATGAAATGTGAGTGAATTTAACAGTAGGTCCTTAATTTTCAAAAAAAAGGGATAGGAAGTAAATCGAAAGTTAGGTACAAGTTCAGAGGGCAAATCAACAGTTAACTCTAATTTTTAAGTTATTTTTCATTTTTGACTTGCAATTTCATAGTTTCCAATTTCGTGTTCATTAGAATCATTACAAATTTCCAATGTGAGATCAGTTTTGTGATTCTCAACAAATGCGTTGGTTAAATGCAAATTGTGACAAATAAGGATTATAGCATTTATTCGATTTAGGGCTGGTCTCCAAGGTTCTGAAAAAACCTTTAAAGCAAACATGTAAGAGAAATTAGGTTGTAATCTCATAGTTAGAAATCCAGATCAGCAATCCAGGCGAGAGTCAGAGAGCTAAAAAATTCAATAAATTTAGTTACACATTCACAAAGAAGTAGAATTTGTTGTTTCTATAATTTATACAAAATCACAAAGACATGGTCAGGGAGGATGTGGCAATGTGGGCTACTTGTGAAGATCGGCAACCTATTCGGTATTCCTCTGTAATTTGCACGAGATTAATTCTAGAGAACCGGGGGCCAAAAATAAAATGTGTATGGTTACCAAGAAAGCAAGGTAATATGCATGAGAGATGTCACATGTTTAAATATCATATCCTGGCATTGCAAACTGGGATGCAAATGTTTCAACCCGATTTCTGAGCTCAATTATATCTTTATTGTTCTGGAGACCTTTGCTAAAATCTTTCTGAAATTTTCCATATTCCCTCTGAACATTAACAGTAATCTGAGCAGCCCTAAGAAGTAATTCGGCCATTGTCTCAAAATCAGCCTCCACACAACCTCTTGTAGTCATAGCAGGAGTACCTGCAAAAACAAACAGGAAAAAGAAAACTTAGAACACCATAGAATTGCAAATTAGTAATGCCTTGCGAGGCAAGTAGGCTGAATGATTGACTACAAGCAAAGGAGACACAACACAAAAGGCGCAATTGGAATAAAACGATATTTATAAATATGAAAATTGGGAGATTGTTTGATGTCCGTGTTTTGATAGAAGTCAAGCACCCAAATGGCCTAGTATGCAGCTTTCAGAATATTGAAGATCAAGTTAAAATGACAAAGACTACTCACCAATTCTCACTCCACCAGGAGAAAAAGCACCATTATCACCAAATATAGCAGTTTTATTGAGAGTGATGTGGCACATCTCACAGACCTTCTCATAGTTCCTCCCTATATCACATTGTTCAGAGGAAAGGGGTTAGATAGTGAAATAAAAATTAGACATCGAAACTACATGAATCGTAAGTTTAACGAAACAGAAAGAAAGAAAAAGCAAGGAGGGGAGGGGAAATAGAGAAACAATTGCACAGTTAGATGTGTGCAAATGTATGCAAATATAGCTCTTGTTTGGCTTATAAAGGCTATCATGTAATGCATAATAAATTGGGATGTAAACTTGAATGTTGACTACACCTGGGACTAAAATCACAACGTAACTCAACAGGTAAACAGAAGATTTGCTCCACATGCAAATAATTTTATAATCCATTCGGTGAAAATTGGGCTGGTTAACATTATAATACCTGTTAAACCAAGAGCAGTCAAATCCCAAAGCAACAAGTGATTGTCAGTACCACCAGTCACCAATCTGCATTTTCTTCTTAACAAAGCATTAGCTAAGGCCTGTGCATTTCTCTTCACCTGTTGCATGTAAGCTTTATACTCTGGAGTAGCTACTTGTTTTAAGGCTATGGCAAGAGCAGCAATATGGTTGTTGTGAGGACCTCCTTGTAAGGAGGAGAAAACAGCAAAATTTATCTTTTCCTCAAAATCATAATGGCTACTACCATCTCCATTGGTATGATGCATTCCTTGCTTCCTTAGTTTTGTGCCTTTCCTGTAAAAGATAATGCCTCCCCTAGGACCCCGGAGACTCTTGTGCGTTGTTGACGTAACAATATCACAATAATCAAATGGACTTGCACATTCCTGTAATAAACAATAGCCTATAAGTAAGGAAATATGGTGCAGAAATTCCTGTTCTCAATTAATACAAGGCTTAATATAACTAGGATATCCCGCTCTTTATCATTTCACATAGAAAAGGGGAACTTAAAAACCAACATGAAGAGGCCCATAGAATGAAGGCTAGTCAAAAGCACAAAATTACACCAAGTTTCAGGAGGCCAAAAATCAGTATTCAACGATTTTTAAGCAACAAACAGATAATCCATACAAGAGAAGAACAGTGAAAGGGTCATTCATTCTAAATTAGTACTACAAATCAATCTTGGAAGGCTAACCTATATATTAAGGAAATGAGAAACAGCATTAAGGATGTCGCCATCTCTCCCAAGTGATTCAAAGTTTTAAAAGTTCTGTACTTTTTCCATACCATAACATGGGATGACTCTCACAGTTACTTGAACGAAGAAAAGTTGTAATTCATAAGAAACATCAAGATGAAGAAAGCACGAGAGTATACCAAATGAGACACCAGAACCAAGAAGCATGGAACACATCACATTAGAAACAAATAGGAAACGTGAGGCAATAGGTAGAGTGGAACAATTTGCACTATCTCCACAGTGTTATACAAACAGGGGTTTAAAAAGATTTTCTACATTCAAATCAATTCAAAAAGGGGAACCCTTTCAGAGTGTTATACAAACAGGGGTTTAAATTAATACTTGCTTTGAAACTCCCATAAAGTAAACCACTAAACCAGTAGTTATCTCATATACTAGATGCTAAAACTGAATACCACTTGACTGGCATATAGCAACCATAAACCTATTTTCATCAGCTTCAAATATATTATACGTTTAAGTTAATCCATTTGCACACTATTACAGTATCGTTTATGGATAAACAGCTCAACAGAAATACGTATTGAGAAACAACGGTGCAATAATTGTTTTGTAGCAATCAAAGAGGTCATGATATGATATCTTAATAGATCAGTCAATTCATTTTCTTTCTCCTGCTGTATAAAGGTTTGTGACAACATGCCGCACATGTACAGAAATAGCTAACAAATTTGGAAACTAAACAAAAATAAATAAATAAAACTAGATTTCGGATGTCAAATTTCAAACCTTGGCTGCCACAAGACCGCTGATATGTGCCATGTCGCACATCAACACAGCTCCGCATTTATCCGCAATATGCCTAAACCTGGCATAATCCCACTCCCGGGGGTATGAACTCCCACCGCAAATTAGTATCTTGGGGCGATAATCAACTGCCCTCTCCTCAAGCTTATCATAATCAATGTACCCTGTTTGTGGGTTCACCTTATAAGGGAAACTGTCAAAGAATATCGAAGCTGCAGAGACCTTCTTCCCACTGGGAGTATAATACCCATGACTCATATGCCCTCCAGAAGGCGAATCCAAGCCCATAATACGATCATTTGGGAGCAAAAGACCGGTATAGACTGCAAAATTCGCAGAGGTACAAGAGTAAGGCTGGACATTGACACCCCATTTCTCTGGATCGAGACTGAAAGCGGCCAATGCGCGTTCATGACAGAGCAATTCAATCTGATCAATGTGCTGATTGCCAGTGTAGTATCTCGCTCCAGGCATACCCTCGGAGTACTTGTTCGTCAAGTGGCTGCCCAGAGCTTCCATTACAGCTCTGCACACGAAATTCTCAGAAGCCACTAATTCGATGCCTTTGAACTGACGATGCTTCTCCTTCTCCATAATTTCATGAATTTCCGGGTCCGAAACCGAAAGCGGCTGGTTCCCCCAAGAGCGAACCGCATCCCGCCTCGCCTCCAGTCCAGCCGATTCGACGGCTAAGCACTTCGACGGGGTCGGGTTCAGGGCGAACCCAGACCCATCCCTCGGCCTCTTCGGGCAGATAGAGTGCCCCAAGAGACTGAATTTCTCGTCATCTTCCTCCTCGTGACTATCGTCTCCATTCTCAACCCTAATCGTCTCTTCCTTCAGATCGAGCAATTGCAGCGGAACGGATTGGACTGAATTAGTTGACGCCGAGCAGTGATGCGCGTTAAACCCTAGAAACAAGTCCGGCTGAGCCTCCGCGAATCCCATAACCACCAAAAATATCCAAAAACAACAATCAAATTCCCAAAAATTGAAAAATCGAGTTTTAGAGAGATAACGCTATACGGAATTAGGTGCAGCAGCAGCAACAACAGCGACAACAGCGAAAAAAATGAAGCGATGATGATGATCCAGAAGTCGCAGAAGAAGGAAACGCTTCCATGCCCTAGAAACCGGGGAGATTGGCAGCGAGTTTCAGACTGAGAAATTCTGTTTGTTTTTGCTTTCTAATCTTTGGGTCATGCATGTATATATGGAAATGAACTGGCGAATGGTAGCTAAGGAAATTTTCAGGGGGATGAACCTGGATGTAAAAACGTAAGCGTGGTTGAGGTTGGGTCAAGGGTCGTGGCGTATGGGTTCGGGTTAACCGGAACCGGCCGGACCCGGTAGCGTTTGGTTTTGTTTCGGTAAAGCAAACACGTGGCGGACTTCTGTGGATTGGCCCACCTGGATGGGATGGCGTCTAGGTTCAGTTGGGGGGATTCGGGCCCACACGTCCAGCTGTGAAGGATCCGCGCGGTAAAAAATGAAGACTGAGACGGGAGGAATTTCTTTATTGGGGGAGCGTCCATCTGTCGGAGGTGACTGATGGTGTGGGCCCTCACGTAGCCGCAAAGATTAACAAGATCACCAACCTCGGCACCCTTAATGCGATTTATCTATGTATGTAAAGCAAAATGCAGAGAATAGTGAAACATTTAAAATACAAGAAAATGCCATTGATTAATGCAAACATTAAGAATTGAAATTATTAATTAAATTAGGATAATATGATAAATTCACATCTTTTTATATTTAAAAAATTTTAATTAAAAGAAAAATAAGATAATGGCTTATTTTTATGGAACACAACTACCCATTATTTTTTTAAATTCTAAATAATTTTTTTTTAATTTTTAAAAATCCTCTCGCAGGCGCGGAAACGCGTGCAGAGAAGCTAGTATTATAAAAAGAGAGCTAATTTCCCCACTCCTCTTTTCTATATTTACATTCTCTTTTATTTTTTTAATAATTTTTAATTAATTTTGTTTTTTCTCTTTCCTATTCTATCTTTACCTTATAATAATTTCTTTTTTATTTCACTTTTATATTATTTCTTCTTTTTTATACTTAATTTTTCAACTTACACTCCATTTTCAGTATTAAAGGGAAAAAAAAAACTTAATTTCTTACTCGATTAAAGGAAGAAAAAAAAAATACTGAAAATGGAGTGCAAGTTGAAAAATTAAGTATTAAAAAAAAGTACTAATATAAAAGTGAGGTAAAAATAAATTAATGTAGGGTGAATGTATAATAGGAAAGAGAAAGAACAGAATTGATTAAAAAGTATTAAAAAGCAAAATGGAGTGTAAGTGGAGAAAATGAGAGTGGGGAAATCATATCCCTATAAAAAAAAAGGCTTGGAGCCATAAATCATTTAAAGCGTTATGTATGTTTGAGTTTAAATAATATGTTGGTGCTACCATGTGAAAATTGTTAAAAGTAAGGTAGAACTTGCTAAAGTATATTGGTATCATTGCGTTGGCACATGAAAATTGTGAATAGTGAGGTGGTGTTTCCTTGAGAATGACCTCAGCATGGTTGCAAGTCGTGTCCTTCATGGTCAAAGGCGGAGCTAGAATTTATAGTTTCTATACGCCAAAATTTAAAGCTTTAATGGGAAAAAATTCCTACTCATGGTTACGAAATACTTATAAGTAATGCAGTTTATATTTTTTTTTGTATTTGTCTCTCTCCTCACGTAACGTTATTTGAGGATAGAAATAGACAAAAAGAGTTATGCACCTGGACCCTGGTTACTGATAAGTTTTGGTTCAGTCCAAACCCCATATTGGACTGAACCCATGATACCATGGAGCTGGCCCATGTCTCCACCAGGCCTAGGCCTATTCTTATTTCTCTCTTCAAACCCAGCCCAAATTCACAGACTTTAACTTCGAGTCAAACTCTCTGCAAAACCAAAAGCACCATTGGAAACTTGTTGAGCTCGTTTATAAACTCATCGTCCTCTGAGATGTCTCTTTCTTACCGGGACTACCTAACCCTTCTCCTTCTGCGTCCTCTCTTCGCAATCGCAGTCGTTTTCTCGTTCATCTCCGTTGGTAATTACTATTTCTCTAACTTTCCCACTTTTTTTTTTTGGAATTCTGGTAGCAATTAAAACGAGAGTTGAGAATATGGGTCGGTGACAAATCTTGTCTATGATCGAATTTTCAGGTTGGTGGTTGGCGTGGAAGCTGGTTTTGGTTCATGTTCCTCTGGTGCAAGAGATTTTCGGGCTGCGGAAGAAGACCGTGAAGCCCAAACCCCAAACTGGTCGCTTTTCTAAATTTTACAGCACCATTGAAGCCCGCAATTCAGCTTCTAAATGGTAACTTTTTGCAGTCTTTTTTTTTTTTTTGAATTTTAAGGATAGTTCATAGGTTGGACTTTCTAGAATCATATTGGGATTCTTCCAAATATAGAAAAGAAGGTTCCTTTTAAGACACAGATGGTTTGGTCTCCTTAATCCATGGCAGCTTCATAGTCATATGATGAATCTGTGTACAAATCCAATTTCATCATACTTCCAAATGCATTCTTATTTGAATAATTCACGCAACAAACAAGAAATCTAATTGTGGGATTCGATTCGATCGCATTGCAGAAAGAAAAGCATTGGGTAAATTGGGAGAGCAAACTTGGTAGCTTCTTGTGTGTTTGAATGGTAAGGGAATGCTGAGCACCAAGTTTCAGGTGCTTGAAGACTGCGAGGTTATGTTCCTTGTATTTTCTCAGATGCAAAATGAAATTTGTCTGTGGGTTTCCCAAGTTGCATTTTATCAAGATGTATAAATATAATTTGATTGATTTTAATTTTGGTGCCGTTGCACCTATAAATATGAACAAAATTCTGAAGCAAAGGAACCCAGCATAAATTTCAAATGTGGGATTTCACTTGTGTCAAATAGTTTCTTCAAGTCAAAAGGATCGAACCGCTTATGAAGCTTCAAGTTCCCAAGGAAATGAAAACCTTAACAACAAAAATTGGCGACAAATTTATCATGCATATGAGAATTAACTACTGGGAAATCATCTTTATGTATGAGTTCATATACAAGAAGCAATATAATGGTTGGGTTATAAAAAAAAAACTATCAACATCTTTATATATACACCACCAAGAGACTATGATCTCGTGTAGGAAAATCTTTATCCAGTATCATCAGATGTCCTGGATGTCCTGTGTTTGAATTTCCCTCCTTCAATATCGCTTATGCAAAAAAAAAAAGGGGGAAATTACTCTTGTTAAACAATAGTAATTGTCTATGAAAAAGAAAAGTCATGTTAAGTGGCCTCTCTATTCCTACCTAGAATGTAAAAATAAAATTTGAAATTTGAAAAATTAAAAAAGAAATAGGGAGAAGATAAAAAAAAGGGTCAGCAAAGGAGGGAACAAGACCATTTGTCTTACTAGAACGACGCCGTTCCCACTTGAGAGGCAAAACCCATCTTCAACTTCAAAAACAAAAACTCATTACTCAGTCTGTTTCTCTGTGTCTCTGAGCGGGCCGCTGAGCTTGGTTACCCAGACCTCATCCATTTGCGTTGCTTCTTACTTACTAGGGTTGTGATTGTGTTAAGCATTTCTTGCTTTCTGGCTATGGAAATTCTTCGAACTTCTTTGCTTCCTGTTAACCCCTTACTCATTGAAACCTCTCTCTCACAAAAACCCAACAGTTCCCACAAACCCAAGTTCATATTTCAAGCTTCCACAGACACAACCAACGTTTCTACTGGCACCACACTCTCAAACCAAGCAAACCCACAAACCCATCTCTCTTTTGCCGCCAAAAAGACCACCAAGCTCAGCAATAACCCAAGAGCTGAAACCAATTCTGAAATTGGTCATTGCATTTCTTTACTAAAGAGTAACCCTGTGTGTGATTGTAGACAGATTCATGCTCAAGCTCTGAAGTTGAACGCTTTTGAAGAGAATGGTTGGATTGGAAACAAGCTTACTATGCTATACTCGAAGAATAAGGAGTTCTTAGACTATGCCCGTAAGTTGTTCAACGATATTCCCAAGCGAAAGATTCCCGTTTACGCTTCGTTGATAAGTGCTTATTGTCGGTCAGAGCAGTGGGAAGACCTGTTTTTGGTGTTTAGGTTGATGGTTGATGAAGGCATGTTACCTGATAAATATGTTGTACCTACAGTTCTGAAAGCGTGTGCTCTGGTGCAGAAGTTAAGGACTGGTAAAATGATTCATGGGTTTGTGATAAGGATGGGGATGAACTCTGATGTTTTTGTTGGGAATGCGCTTATTGATTTTTATGCCAACTGTGGGGACTTTGGATTTGCATTAAGTGTGTTTGATGCCATGAGGGAAAGAGATGTGGTTTCATGGACTGCCCTTGTTTCTGCTTTCATGAATGAAGGCCTTTTTGAAGAGGCAATTAAGGTTTTCAAGTCCATGCAGCTGAATGGGGTCAAGTCTGATTTGATCTCTTGGAATGCACTTGTATCGGGGTTTGCACGCAATGGAGAGATTGATTTAGCTCTTCAATATTTGGAAGCAATGCAAGAAGAAGGGTTGAGGCCGAAGGCTAATACTTGGAATGGAATCATTTCGGGTTGTATTCAGAATGAGTATTTCGAGGATGCTTTGGATGCATTCTATAATATGTTATTTTTCCCCGAGGATCCAAATTTTGTTACAATTGCAAGCATTTTACCAGCTTGTGCAGGCCTAAAGGATTTAAACTTAGGCAGGGCTGTTCATGGGTTTGCTCTGAAGCGTCAGCTTTGTGGAAACATGCACGTGGAAGGTTCGTTAATTGATATGTATTCAAAATGTGGGATGAAAGATTACGCAGAGAGTATCTTTTCCAAGGCAGAGAACAAAAGTATTGCTATGTGGAATGAGATGATTGCAGTTTACATAAATGCAGGAGATGCAAAGAAGGGATTAGAGCTTCTTAGAGTGATGCATCATGGCGGCTTAAAACCTGACGTGGTATCTTATAACACAATATTGGCTGGCCATGCAAGAAATGGGCAAATAAATGAGGCATATGAGTTGCTTTATGAGATGGTCCGGATGGAGTTGAAGCCAAATATTATTTCTTTCAACGTTTTGATTTCTGGTTTTCAACAATTTGGGCTTAGTTTTGAAGCTTTGAAATTGTTCCAGACCATGCAATCCCCATTGAATGGTTGCGTTGGTAATGATGTGCTCCATGAGTTAACCCAACCAAACTCCATTACTATTGCCGGTGCTCTTGCAGCTTGTGCTGATCTGAATCTACTATGCCAAGGGAAGCAAATCCATGGATACGCGTTAAAGAATGGCTTTGAGCCTAATATCTATATCTCAAGCGCATTGGTTGACATGTATTCAAAATGTCTTGATATTGTTTCAGCAACTAAAGTATTCAGGAGAACTGAAGATAGAAACACAATCTGTTGGAATACTTTGATTGCAGGCCATGTCCACAACATGCAGCTGGACCGAGCTCTTGAACTTTTCTGTGAAATGTTAGAAGAAGGTCTTGGACCAAGCTCTATTACGCTTATGATACTTCTCCTCACTTGTGGTGATATGGAAGCTCTGAGATTTGGAAGAGAATTACATGGCCATATCATAAAGAGTAAGCTCGATCAATCTAATTATGCCCTTGCAAGTTCCTTGATAGGCATGTATGCTAAGTGTGGGAGAATCAAGGATGCCAAATCGCTGTTTGACTTTGAAGTTAAAAAAGATGCTTCTGTATGGAATTCCATGCTATCTGCTAATTCGACTAATGGAATGGCCAAGAGGGCCATTGCCCTGTTTGGAGAGATGGAGTTAGCAGCGCCTGTGCCTGAGATATAACTTGAGCTTGTGATCATGATAGCTTAGTGGAAGAAGGATAAAAATGTCTCAAATCATTAAATAACAAGTTTTGTGCTCTTTATGGCGCTATATGAGCTTCTCTTTTAGGCATGTGGATTGTTGGTTATTTGGGTAGTGCCAGTTTACTTGACGAGGCTCTTGACTTCATCAGACAAATGCCCGTGTACCTGATGCTTTTATACAAGCTACTCTTCTACTAGCTTGTGGAGTCGGGAGTCAATTGAAATCCAAATATTGTAGAATGAGCTGCATCATATTTTGTTTCAAACTCAAACCAAATAATGTTCTCAGTGATGTGTTTCTCTCCACTATTGGTCTCTTTTGGGATGTGGGAATCCATGCAGTAACTTAAGGACTTTCATGGAGGATTGCAATTTGATGACTCTAAAACAGTGAAGCTTTATAGACGTGGATACTAATTGCATACATTTGAGGGGACATATCACATTCCAAGTTGGAGGAAACCGTAGAAACATGGGAGAGATCGACTGGAAAATTGGAGGGTGGTGGGTGACTTCCCCATAGTCATGTTTTGGAGAACAAAATGAGATGATGAGAATGTTCCCTTTGTCTTGTGTGCACACTGAAAGTTTGTTGACAACATCTCATTCAGATGCTAATTTACATATCTAAGAATTTGATGTCCCAACTGCCATAGATCAGCCAAAGTTGTATAAGATTGATGAGTGGGTGATCTTTATGCTTCTGTCACCATATGAAGAATGAGATGTGTAGATGCCAAGTTTACCCAAATCGTAACTTTTGGAAGTCACTTCCCGACAGTGATGACATCAGAGCTGGAGTTAAAAGAGCCTATGAAGAATTTCTTGTCTAAGTCTCTAAATGCCAAACTAGCAAAAACATTTGGGTAGCCACAATCTCGTTTCCTTCCAATTTGAACTTGCTGTTTGATCAAGGGAGAATTCTTCTGCAGCATGTGCCACAAGCAACCAGAAAAGGAAAGTTTTGAAAGTTGGTTCTGCATTGGTCCTGTTGTTCACCCGGTTTTGGTTATTTTTATTCCTACAAAGTTGCCGAAAATGTGACCTACCAAGTATGTAACAGGTTGTAGGGTCAGCGCATATATCCACTAGGAGGCACTCATCATGACTTTCTCCCAGTCTTAGGAAGGTGTTGATGTCCCTGAAGAAGCAAGACCACAGAAGAGGTAGTGTAGGTATCTGTTGTCTCTTAAATCTTGTTTATTTGTTCATTCTGCTTTATTTTGGTTGTATTTTACATAGCACACTAAATAAACTAAGCCGATGAAACTGTTAATGTTAATTGAATTCTACATACTAAACATTTTTTCCTGTCAAAATCACATCGAAACTATACTAAACATATTAATTGAAGTCATGTTAATTGAAGTCAACATGCTAAACATTTTTTCCTGTCAAAATCACATCAAAACTTTACTAAACTAATCATGGTGCACGTGCACACACAACTACAGATTACAGGAATTTTATTACTCACTAAACAAAAGTTGCATCCCTATTGCAGGCTTTGCTGCTGGGGACAATCTCACATTACTCCTATGGACAAGAACTATTTGCAGGCCGAAGCAAAATATTTATTTATGCTCTCGCATTTATCAGTAGCTCTACTGTTTACGGCCGAATTCTAATGATGGCGTGCCATCAGGATCACCAGGACTCCTTCGCTTCGACTCAAAATGCCTTCCAACCTGCCTCTCAATGCTAGTCTTAAGCACTTCTTTAGCACTCTCCATCGCTGTCCAGCTGCTACCCTTGTTTGAGTACGAGCCACGAACACGAGCTTCGTTATTCTGAAGGGAGAGTAAAACCAGAAAAACACATAACCAGAGTTTCATGCTACCCATTATCAATTTGAAGCCTTAATGTAGGATGTTTGGACATATATATATAGACTATCATTCCTGTTATGATTTGATAATTAAAAGTGAATGGAATCAAATGTGGGATTAGTTTGATTTGGTGATCATTTTCTGATGCACTTAAATCGCATAACCATGATAGTGCTGAGCATGTATGTGCTACAAAATATTGCTCCCACAAATCCACGGTCTAGTATGTGTTTGAGTTGAGAAAATATAGTAAGATACAAATGATCCCTTTGAATATAAAGAATCTAATAGGCAAGTTGGTATTTCCCTTCACTGAATCATGCCTCTTTGAATTGTCCATATTCTCTAAGAAAAGGTGTGTGCCAAGTTATAAGCGGTGTCCATATGCAGCATGCACTGGTTGTTGGGGAGCTTTAAAAGTTGGCCTCAATAAAGTTCAAATTTTCTTCTATAAAACTATATACGAGGAGAGCTCCTAGAATCCAAAGGGAAAACCCTTCTGGTATAGTATTCTACGTCGTATTGCTTGTACTTTCTTATGTTTCCCACAAAATCAAATGGTTATTATTGTCAAGGCCTTGGGGTTAGCCAAAGTGGTGAGGGTGAGTGAGGAAATGAGTTTGGATTATTAGGTTAAATCAAGGGGATCAAGGGGTTGATTCCTTTCCATTGTAACTTATTGTCGAAAAACTCTTCACTCTTAGCAGTGAAATATTGATCCCTACGTCTTCGATGAGAGCTTAATTTCTCATTTCCTTTTTTGAAAGCTTAGACCTCTTTCAAACTAAAAAGAAAAGGAAAATTACAAAGAAACCACATTATTGTACAACCTCTTGTATTGGCGGGCTGATCTTTATTAGAGAAGTGGTACATAAGGTGGTATAATAATATTGAAAAATTTATTTCAATAAAAAAAAAATTATGCAAATTTAGTAATTTAACTTCAAAAGTGGGCATGAAAAGTTTAAAGCAATAACTATGAATGAATTAAGCAAATTACGAACTCTTCTTCATTATATATTTAATGTTTTCTTTTGGACTATATTGATAATTGGATACAGAAAAATATGATAATACATCTTATAGATAACAATAAACAGCTGTTGGTTATGATATCCCAAAGCGAAATGTTGTCTGCTATTGAAGACAAAGAAGTAAGAATATATTGTCATGAATTGTTTATGCTTCATCCTTTTTGTCAAATTTCTTTTGTTGTACCTGTAAGGTGAAGACGACTTATATATATATATATATATATAAAAGTTTGGGCGTTAATTTGGTTAGGCCTAATGGTATGCACAAAATTCTCTGTTTAAAAAAAAATAAAAAAAAATCAACAATAGTGGTTTTTTCTCAATGAAATATTCAAATTTACCAACGAGGTCTAGTCCAGTGAAAAAGGGTATTGACTTATAGACCAATGGTCTCAAGTTCGAATCCTCTCGTGTGTCTTGTAATTTCGACTATAGCTTGTATTAAAAATAAATTAATTAAAGATTAGAATTTAGAACTTACTAGCCTCTTTTTTCTTTTTTTTTTCTTTTTTTTTCTTTATAACTAGCCTCTCCGTGCGCGCTTCTGCACTTGCGAGAGACTTTTTTATATAAAAAAAAATATATATTTTAGAATTAAAAATAATAATGGGTAGTTGTGTTCCATAAAAATAGGATCCATTATATGATTTTTCTTTTCATTTTAATTTTTTTAATATGAAAATGTGTGAATTTACCATATTATCCTCATTTAATTAAGAGATATTTAGTCATATACCCATTCTTAGCACAAATAATGTACTTTCATGTATAAAGATTTTAGCACTTTCAAGTTTAATAATGTATTATAGACGTACGTGCGTATTCTTTAATAATCCATCCGTGTTTGCAAACGTCTTAAAAACTCGGCAAAGTTCACGTCTTTTAAAAAGCAAACGTACAATACTCATATTATACATGTAAGCACGTATTTATCATGTTTAATACATGTATTTTTTTACAAAAATTTAAATAAGACACACAAAATTCACATATTATACACATAATTCTCACATATTATTGGATAAAAATAATATATATTTAAAAAACTGGTACCGCCGCACGGCTATACTCGGTTTTTTCCTAATTGTTTTTTTAAAGTAGTATAGCCGATCAGTTATACTCGTTTTTTCCCATTTTTTTCGAAAAATAGTATAGCTGAAGGGCTTTACTTTTTTGCACATGGCGCATAGAAGCTAGGCGAGTCTTTATCGTATAGCCGCGCGGCTATGCGAAATTGTTTTGAATTTTTTTAAAGAAATAGTGTAGCCGTGCGGCTGTACTCGTTTTTATATATTTTTTTTAAATAGTGTAGCCGCGCGGCTATACTGTTTATAAAAGAAAATTAGTCATTGAAATTCCACCGGTGGAGACCTGTTCCGACAAACTTCGTCGGGAGAGGTTTTTTTAAAAATAAAAAACTTGTTTCGTTACTTTTGTTTTTTAGCCAACTTATTCATTTCATCAAGGCAAAAGTGCAGGCCATGTTCTTTTAACTTATTAAACTCTAAAGCTTCAACCCCTCAACTATCAATTAAATATATGGATTTGCAAATGAATTTATAACTTATAATAGTCACAATCAGGAAATTTAACACATAAACAATCCATGTGTGGGCGTATACAGTCATGATCATCAACTCAATGAGCTGCACTTTCCTTTTCTTATAAAGAGCCAGGTGGGCCATAACATGAACATTCTCAGAATTACAAATAATGAGTCTGCTTTCTTGTTAAACAAAAGTATAGTATCCCCATGTGCATGTCACAATTGAAATTGATTTTTTATACCTCAGAAACTTTCGAAGAACAGAAGCCATAGGTAAGAAATGCCCGATTGACCGATGAAATCCGATGTGTCCTTACATCTAATTCAGGTTCTGCTAGAAAACTTATCATTTCTCCACCCCTGCAGCTGTTGCTGGCAACCCAGATGATTTCTCGGTGGCCACAGGGGCTTTCTTACTGCCAGGCCCTGTGGAGACTTTAACCATTGCTGGTCTTAGAAGCCGACCTCCAAGTAAAAAGCCACGGCGGATTTCCTGAATTATAATCCCTTCCTTGAATTCTTGAGACTCTTCACGTGCAACAGCTTCATGTAGCTGTAACAGAAAGTTGAAAACTTAAAACGATGGCATGGGAACATTTATCAAGTTGCAGAGATGGCATAACTAAAAATATTCGCATATCAGTTTATATGACCACCCTAGTTTACAAACCTTCCTGATAGTCATCATTGAGGTTCAGGATACAGACAAATATTGCATCTTCAACCAAAAAAGATATCAAGCCATAGAAGGTTAAATCAATAAGAAGCAAAACATACAAGAGGGAGCAGAGTCAAGGCCAATTTTGGACAGATGGACTAGTGGGAATAATCAAGCTATATGCACCATTCAAAGGCTGATACATCCAAGTTACCAATGACTGGTATCAATGACAAATAGCTAATAATGAATTCAAGAAAACGCTGCTCGACAGGGTAATCTCCTACCAGGTAGATGCATACTGTAGACACACAAAGGAAGAATTTTCACTAAAGGCCCTGGAAATTTGAATCAGATGAGAATGCACAAGTGTTCCACACTCCTGTATCCATGTGGCAGTTTTGTATGAAAGCTTAACCATCCAAAATTTGATCAGCCCTTGGGCAATAGTGAGAGGTCCCAAAAGATAAAGGATACTGGAAACTACCCAAAACTTAGAGCAAGTATTGAGGCCTTCAAATGCATATTAACATTTGTCCCAATCTTTTCCGAATTAAAACAGCTGAATGCATCAGTCCCAGGTTTTATACCAAAGTGCGCACACAAAAATGACAGCACAAGAGTGCTCCTACTCTATGTAAAACAAACAATAAACTACTGACAGTAAGTCCGCAAGGGAGAGGAGAAAAAGAGTAGAATGAAAGATTAGGTTCTCCTTCAATTGGTAGAAAGGAGAGGACAGACAAAATGCAAGGGGCTTATTGCCCCACCAAAAGTAATCCATCCACCTTCGGGTAAACTGGAGGAGGGAAAGAGAAGAATCATACAAAATTTGCATATGAGCTAATGTGCACATCCTACCTCAAACATCCTTCCAAAGATCGAATAATAATATTTCATCATTTGGACCCAAGAAAAGATATCATATTAAATCCTTGAAAGGTAAACAAAATCAGGATTCAATTTTAAGATCTCTTTAACTTTAGAATGTGTTTGACTGGAGAGAGAAGCATGAAAAGCCAGTCAGCAAAAAGATAAAATTAAATATTTAGAGTATACATTGAACCAAGTAATCTTAAACACCTTCACTTACCGAAGGATCAAAAGACTTTCCCACAGTTGGCACGACAGCCACATGCAAGCTCTTCATAGTCTCCACCAATTGCTTGTATATACCTTGGTAACTTGCATCAATCTTTTTTTCCTTGTCAGTCTCGGGTTTAATGTATTGTTTGGCTCTCTCAAAATTGTCAACCATGGGCAAAAGACTCTCAATAACTTCTCCTTGTGCATCCGTCCTTACCGTAAGTCTCTCCTTCTCAAATCTTTTTCTACAATTATCAAAATCTGCTTGCAAGCGGATAAATTTCTCCTTCCCAGATGTTATCTCTGCCGACGAGGAAGATACTTTCTTGACTAATTTATTCTTCTCATTTTCAAGTATTTCTATCTTGGCCTCAACTTCTGATACAGTTTCTTCATCTCCGTTAAATATAGCTTCCTTGTAAACTTTAAGGAGGGTCCTCAAACGGGGCAAATGGTGTTGATCTGCTCCACTTTCCGAAGCTTCTACATTACTCTGAGTACGATCCTCTTTGGCATTCGTCTAGACATAAAGTACATATATAAGATTAACAATCTAAATACAGATAACTACGTACAGGAACAACCAAATAACGAGAAATTAAGTATACATATTTAAGTTTGAAGAGTGTGAGTCTGTTGACAACTGAAAATTAGAGACTTGGTTAAATTACTGAGATATAAATATGGAAGAAGCAGATTCTTAGACTTCAAAAAGAAAATTTAGAACAAGGAGAAAGAACATTTCAAACAGGATTGGAGTTTTAACAAGCCCTTAGAACTGCCTTAACATACACAAGTCCAAAGGAAATTCTTGATTGTTTGACTGGAAGCAAAGTAACTAGAATTAACGGCTCATGCTTCTTTCATTTCAAACAAAACATCCAGAAAAGTTGTTGCACATTTACACTATACCTATGAAATCAAATGCCATCATACTAAGATTTCAAATCCTGCAAACCCATTGGACCCATGAGTCCATCACCATTAATTTTATGTAGCACATAACAATTTGGAAAATTTCCCCTAATTAAGAGATGACTAAGGCAAATAATATAAACAAAAATTGAAAACAAGAAACTAGAGAGAATGAAGAAAAGCGTACTTACTGGGGGAACGGAGTCTCGAGGAGCGAGATGAGATTTGAAGGAAGAGGCACGCCTGCTTCTGCTTCCGCTTCTGCTGCTGCTGCTGCTGCTGCTCTGACTAATAATAGAGGAAGAGTTGTTGAGAGAAAACCCTAGACGGGGAAGAGGTAGGGGTTTGGAGGGTTTTGAAGACAAGGAAGCAGAGAGGCGAGGGGGAGCTATGAAACTGTGGTTTGGGAGAAACAACGAATTCGCCATTAAACGCTTTTTTCAAAAGAAGAAACAAAAGAATCACAATTCAGACCGAGTCTGGTTTATTGTTGCTGGGGACGAACAATGGGCACGCTTCTAGTCTGCCACTGGGAGTGTGTGTTTAATTAGATGCCTGAATATGGGCTTGAAGACCCATCACTCTTTTGGGCTGAAGCATCCATACTTTTCTAGAAGATTCTATTAACACCCTCAAGTGATCTTCAATATTGAGAGAGGGATATTCGAACATAGGACCGTAAATGATCTCCGATACTGAAGGGATATTGACCTCAATGCAAGGATGACTACTCTTGTTATTTTGGGTTAATTATATAAAACCTTAAAGTTTATTTCAAATTCATATATAAAGTTGCAGAAAACTTACAAATAAGATCATCCATTATTTAGACGGTTAGTAAGTCGATTAAATACTTACATAGCAAACAATCGTAGGTCCCAAACAAATAATAACCAATTCATTATAAGAATACTACTCTCTTAACACAACACAGCACACAAGTAACTCATTTCATAAACATTGAAATGAGAACTCAAACTCATTGATGACCAAGTATATTTCAAAAGCCAATGAACGTACACCGTTTTTGTTTGGACCCCAAATTGGGCAGTCTCTGATCTCCAACATCCACCAAAGAGTGAAACAAAACGAACTTTTCCTGGTCACTTCTTTAATACGAAAACCAGAAATGGGATTGAATGACGAACCACCACAATTACATATAATCAGATAAATCCTTGTTTAGAAGAAACAATGAGCACGAAATCTGACTCATAAACATTTAGCATTAATAGCTTGATTTTGAACATGGAAAACCAAGTCTACAAGATTGTTTCAACGTCTAACACCACCACAAACTAAAATAACCAGAATACACATATGTAGCTACTGCAACAGTCAGACTAGTAGTCAGCTTCCTGCCGGCCTTGAGCGCCTGCGAAAAAATACAGAATAATGAGTATCAGGCAACGAATTCATTTTATAATTCCCTGTTTAAAAGAAAATTGGACAGACAGTTAAAATAAAGGCAGTATCTATTTCACACTAAGATGGTTTATTTTACCCCATTTCTTCTACTAGGTGTGTTTCGAAGACATCTCAGCTCAACATTTATGGAAACAAAGATTCGCATATGAGGATGAATAAGGCATCTCAGCTTCAGGTTGCACCGACTAAAACCAGTAAGAACCCCAGATTTGAAATAAACAATATGTTCAGATCAGTTAAGCCAGTTGGCTAATCTTTTGTTTTGCCAGAGAAGCTTAACTGACAGTTCGTTGTGGCTGGAGATTCAAATGCTAAGGAAGACAGATGGTGCATATAATGCTTAATTTATAGGCTCTAGCTAATGTTGTGACAACCCAATACCTAAAGCAATCTCTTTTCTTTTTTTTTTGCTGTCAAAAGCTTATGTGATTCACTCTTGGAAGTTGGTATCCCACAACAATGGAGTTGAGTTTATATTAAAAGAAAATTTTAATACGATATCTAGCTATAAAGAGGCAAAAGACAACACCAGAAAAGATCCTGAATTGTACTCTATTTCCCATCTTGAACACTGTATACAACAAAATTTAACCCGAGAAAACGATCCAAACGCTGTCATCCTCCTAAACCCAAGAAAATGCGACGGAACTATGGAAAGAAAATTGTTCGGCATTGTTAACGATGTAAATAGTGTTAAAGCTACATGAAGAATATTAGGTACACAGCACTGCCAAACGGTGTGGAAAAACAGGATTTATGCATGTAAATCCAATAAAAGGAGTAAGGATTCAAAACTTATGACTGCATGACTGAAGCATGTCAGATATAAAATCGGTCATAAGGTACATGTTGTATGAATTGACAACTGAATTCAATTCGGCGAGAAGAGATTACCTGTACAGAAACTTTTGTTGTAGCAGCCACCAGTAGTTCACAAAGAACAAGCTTCAACAGCTGAGGCTCTTTGATATTGAACATCAAGCCTTTCAAGCAGTTTGGCATAAGAAAGATCCAGTTGGTTGTTCACACCTTCAGTTGCATTGTACCCTTTATTGCCATTGTCCTCATTGCAGCCAACATCATCAAAACCACCTTCAACAGGCTGGTTCATATGAATAATCTTACCAAACAGTTGAAACGAACTTCTGCCAACCTTTGTTGAGTTGCAGTACCGGTTTCCATCCAGTTCCGTGCCAGAGGAATGCACACTACTCTGGCTATCTGGTGATAATTCATCAGACTGTGAACTGCCAATGTTCAACTCAGTAGACACCCTCTTCAACTTTGGCACCACATTGTTGCCGAAGGAATTGTAAGTGCACATCTGAGGAGAATTCTCACTTAACAAGTGGGATAGATTAGATACACAGTATAGATCTTGCCTGGCTCCCTGCATGCCAGCAGGAAAAGTGTTATAGTTCAACAAGGATGCATTCAATTGCCCCATTGTTGAATTAGGCGCTCCTGCCACAGGAAAGAAGAATTCTTCCTCTGCATTGGTCAGCAGCCCAGGACTCAGAGGAACTCTGAATCTCTTTGCGGGGGGAAATGCAGTATGAATTGAAGGTGTTGATGCAACATAGTCAACTTGCCATGGGCTCACCCTCTTAGCATTCTGCAGAACTTCAGGTTCATCCCAAGTAACCTATAATAGAGGGGTCATTAATTATTTTAAACTATCTCTTGGAAAAAACTATAAAACTCAACATCAGTCCATGTGGAGAGAAAATAAGATGTGCTAAATGCAATAAATTCAGAATGTAACAAAATGTAGAAAATGATTAATATTATTATCTGATTTCTCATAAAATTTTAATATGAAAATACAAGCACTTCTCTCTCCCTCTCCCTCCGTGCATGTGTGTGTATTTATAGTGTTTTTATGCCTGATATGATAGGTTGTACTCTTTATCTATTTGGTGTGAAGCACAGAAACTGTGGTTTGCTAAACCACAAACGTAAAAGGACAATAAAAGATCACAGTGTACAATAATTTGGCAATGGCAATGGCTACGACCCTGGCTAATTTTTGAAAGAGCATAGTCTCAACACAATTCTATAGATACTTAACAATCCACAACCTGAATCAAATTATCCTGACATTGTATTTCTTTTCAAAACAGTAAGTTTGGCAAAACCAAAAAGCTTATTTCAATTTTCCCCTTTTTTCTGCTGCAAAAGAAATATAAGTTAATGAATTTCAACCTAATTGATATCATGTATTTGAACAGAAGACAAGTCTACAGGAAAGTTGGTGTCATATGATATAAAGAAATTATGCACCTGCCTCAACCGAAATATAGATCAACTGCTCTTTCATTTCAACTTCTACTCCAACAATTAAAATGCAATATAAATTAGATTAACCTATTATAAGTCATTTAAGACAAGCAACGCATGGCACAATATTTAGGAGATCATTATCTCACTAATCAATGCCAGCAATTATACAGGAATAGAATTCAACAGGAAATCTTCTGGGATAAACTAAAACATAAATCTGTCAACACATCCCAAAAGCCATCTGATCGAGTCAAAACCAAATAAAATATTGAATGTTTCTTCAAAATTATGTACCATATCTGCTTTCTAATGCATTTCCACAAACATAAACTACCATGACATGTTCCAATTCAAAGAGGGTCGGTTAGCACCCTGCGGATAGTGACATGTACGCAAACCTATACCCAATTGGATGGATCACAGTAAATTGTTTCATATAAACAACAAGATGAATTTCTTACGCCTACATCACTCAGAAGCTAATAACAATTAAATAAAACTCAAAACAAGTGAGACCAAAAGCTGAAGAACCAATACCTGAAGCATACGCCATGGGGAGCGCTGCCAAGGCCCATTGTCTGGGATCGATACCGACGACAAGGTGCCCTGAAACCAAGTCATCCTGGACGAATCCTCGGTCTCCACGGACATCTTCACTCTCATCCCGGCGGACCAAAATACATTTAAAGCCTTCTCCACCACCTCGGCCTTCACCACAAAGTCTGACCACCCCGCTTTCGGATAGTACACCACCTCGAACGGCCTTCCCTCCGCCGCCATCTCCGCCGCCCCTACCACGGCCTCTGCCGACATCACCTTCCTTCCATAACCTTCCTGATCCTCTGTCTTCAGCCTCATTGTGGTCGTCGCTCCGCCACCAATGTGAGAGCTCCACCTGGAAGCGCAGTCAGAGCTCACGGTGGACCTGACTGCTCGGCGAACGCCCACGAACATCTCGCCTCTCGAGTTCCTCATGAAAACAACAGAGTCGCCGGCGACGAGCATCTTGTGATTGACGAACTTGCTCCAGCCGGTGGTGAGCAAGTGCCGCCTCGGAGTTCCTCTGTAAATATGGCGAAAATCCCAAACGATGCCGTGGAGGTCGGTGACGGAGAGCGTCTGGACCGGCGGCTCGGCCTGGTAGTTAAGCGCGGGGAAGATGGAGTCGGCGCAGAACCTCGGGACGGAGAAGCCACCGCCATTGTTGGCGTCCGAAGGAGTGAGGATCTTCGCGAACGAAACGACCTTATCGGTCTCGTCGGCGTCGTCAAATACGTCGTCGTTGGGAGGCTCGTGGCGATTGGTGCGTTCATGGTTGGGGATGGGGAGGAGAAGGAGCTTGGCGAAGACCTCGTCGGTTGTGGGATCGGAGAGGAAATGGACGGCGGAGATGCGGCAGAGAATGAGAGGCTTGGAGAGGACGAGAGGGGAGAGGAGGAGAGGGGTGGAGGAGGAGGATTGCTCGAGGTGGCCTTGAGGGAAGTAGTAAACCCTAGAATGGAGGATGGGAATTTGTACGGAGTTTCCGGCACAGGCTCGCCAGATTTTGGGGTCTATCGGACGGTGGGGAGAGTGCGAGTGAGAGTGAGGGTGGTGATGCGGCGGCGGATTAGGCGTAGGAGGCATTTTGGGGTTAGGGATTTTGATTTCAGAGAAGAGAGAGAGAGAGAGAAATTGAAAAGTGTGTTTGTGTGTTTTAGTGTCTGATTTGCCTCAGGGTGTGTGACAGAAGTTGAAAGAGAGAGAAAGAGAAGAGGAAGAGAGAGAGAGAGAGAGAGAGAGAGTGAGTGCCGTCTTCGTCTTGGGGTCGGAGAACGGGCACGCAAGCAAA